GCCGGGGATTTAGCTCAGTGGTTCCACAGCCTGCCTCACAAGCACAAGGTCCCGAGTTCAATCCCCAGTACCAAAAAAAACAAGAAAAAGAAAAGAAATAAAGAAATAGAATGTATGAAATACCTTTTTATATGGACAATTATTAAAGAATGACAAGAAAATAGAAAAATTAACAAATCCCAGGAAAAAGAAAATAATGCAAAATCAACATTAAGAAGCAGCCAAAATCTAAAAAGAATATATTAAATCCAGCATTTTAAGAGAAAAGTTTATAAACTGAGGATTAGAATGTTAATGTCAAAAAAATGAAAACAAACTCAGTATGAGGGCCCACATGCCTGTACTCCCAGCACTCTGGAAGGCTGAGGCAGGAAAACTGCAAATTTAAACCCAGCCTGGGCTACGTAAGTGAGACAAATTCTCAAAATTAAAAAAAAAATTTTTTTTTTGTACCAGGGATCGAACTCAGGCCCTTGAGAAAATGAAAAAAAAAAAATTAAAAGGGCTGAGGATGTAGCTCAGCGTGAAGGTCCCAGTACGGGGGAGGAAGGTGTGACACAGATGAAACCTGTAAGACCTAGCTAATTCCACCTCCTGACTATGAGTGAAAGGCTAGGAAAGACATGATTCAGTGCTACGAACAGCTGCTGAGCCACAGAGATCTACTGCACATGTGTCTTCAGCAGCAGAGGGGAAAACCACACTGCTCTTGCAGTTAAAAGTCAAAAGTGCTATCAGTAGCAGTCATTCTAAACATGGAAGACAAAAACTAATTGTCATAATATCAAAGGTACTTAACAGTGGAACATTTTTAAAGGGATGGTGTGTCCCTCTGAGAAGCAGGCCTCTTTCCTGTGATCACATAAGCTACTCTGAAGAAAATTGGAAATCAAAACTTAATGGGGACAGAAGGGAAAAATTTACACCACCAGTGAAAATGGGAACTGGATAAAGACATCTTCCCATGGTTTCCAAACACCTACCAAGGCACCCAGGGGTGCTGCAGGAACTGCACCGAAGAGCCCTGGGGCATCATGAGTTTGACAGAAACAAAACACTCAACAGCTGTCAGCTACTGGCCAAGGACAAAGAGTACACACGTATCGGCACACACACCCATCAGCTGTATGAGCAGAAATATCTCTGGAACAATACACGCGAATAGGGTACCATGCCACCTTTGGGAGCGACTGCGGAAGGTGAGGCAACAGGAGAGACACATACCTCTCACTTATGTGCCACGAGCAACCTATTTTTCGAAAAATAAACTAAAGGCTAAGTGCTCTTAATGAAAAACGTAATCATATTTTCATCTCCCCCAGACCACCATCGCTCTGTAAAGAGATTGGGAAATGCATTGACAGAGTTAGTTTGGTAAACAGGAAGTATATTAGGCACAACATTAGCGCTCTGTCTGGAACACAGCTGTAGACTTTAAGGGCCTTAACTTCTCTGTTATTGCCTATATTCATACAAGAGTGTAAAAGCATCTGAATTATTATCCCCCAAATAAAAAGTCTGAAGGTCTGAAAGGGTTTTACTTCTTTCTGTTTCCCTCATTTTGTTTGAAAAGACCTTCAGAAAAAACTTAACATTTTGGGCCGGGGATTTAGCTCAGTGGCATCGCTTCTGCCTTACAAGCACAAGGTCCTGAGTTTGATCCCCAGTACTGCGGGGGAAAAAAAGAGAAAAAGAATAACACAACATTTTTTTAAGTTTCACAAACTCAAAAGGCTAACATTAAGAAGAAGACTGGGGAAAATACTGGTACTAAACATGACAGATAATTTATAAAGTTACTTTTAATAAAACAGCCTTAAAAATAACAGTCCATATCCCCAAGACCAGTACAGCAGAATAAACCTCACTTGTAAAAACATTATAATATTGTGATATTTGCTTTGGCCCACCTACAGACATCTACTTAGAAAACTTTTTAAATCTTCCCTAAAGCAGTTAATCTGCAACTCCCCTCAAGGGAATGGCATTATGGGACAGGAGAAATGTTGCAAAAAACATTTATAGGCAAGTAAATCTTTGTAGCTGCTGCCACCTGAAGCAACGGACAACAAGACAAACACACTGACCAAAAAAAGGCTAAGGACTGGCACGTGACAGTCAGGACTGGGTAGCGTGGTGGTGTGCCAAGTCTCTCAGGAGCTGTCCTGCACTCTTCCCACTCACGGCTGACCCGTCCTAACTGACCCTGTCTTCATGTCCCTGGGTCTTCACACCATCTGCTCACGTCAGCTGTTGTGCAATCCAGTGAATTCCTCCTTTCTGTTCGGACCTTTTCAATGCCAGCGTTTCTGATTCATTTTTAAATAATTTCTTTCTCTTTGTTGGCATTCTCTTTTGGTGACAGTTCTGATGGATGCTTCTCTGCCCCTGCTTCTTTCTTTCTGGTACTGTGGATCAGGGCCTCCCAGTGTGCAGGTTCAGGGTTCTGTCACAGACCAAATCCCCAGCCCCTTCCTTTAGTTCTTTTAGCATGCCGAAACCCACATAAAACGAGTCCCAAAAGGAGAGGGAAGCAGAAAGAATCTTTGAAGAAATAACAGCCCCAAACATCCCAATTCAATGAAGAGGCTCAACAAACTCCAAATGGGATAAAGCCAAAGAAAGCCACACCAGCTGGGGATTTAGCTCAGTGGTGCCACAGCCTGCCTCACAAGCACAAGGTCCCGAGAGTTTGGTCGCTGGTACCAAAAAAAAAAAAAAAGAAAAAAACAGATGGTTCCAGAAATCCACGCCATCCTAACATCCTAATTAGACACATCCTAAACAAAGACGGGAGAATAAAGCGTCTCATCAGGAACAGCTGACTTCTCCTCGGAGACCAGAGGCCAGAAGGCAGAGGGATGACACAGTCAAGTACTGAAAGAAAAATCCTGTCAACCAAGAATTCTTTATCTGCTAAAACTATCTTCCTAAAGCAAAAGATTAAAAAATTAAGATCTTTTCTATGAGGATTTATAGCTCAGTGGTACCATGCCTGCCTCACAAGCACAAGGTCGAGTTTGATCCCCAGTACCAAAAAAAAAAAAAAAAAA